TCCTGAATGGCTGAAACTCTTCCCACACTGATCACAGATGAATGGTTTTTCGCCTGTGTGAGTACGCAGATGACTGTTCATACTTCCTAACTGGCTGAAACTCTTTCCACACTGATCACAAAGGAACGGTTTTTCGCCTGTGTGAGTACGCAGATGGTATTTCATACTTCCTGAATGGCTGAAACTCTTCCCACACTGATCACAGCTGAATGGTTTTTCGCCTGTGTGAGTACGCAGATGGCGTTTCATATTTCCTGAATGGCTGAAACTCTTCCCACACTGATCACAGAAGAAAACCTTTTTGCCTGTGTGAGTTCCCCTGTCCTTCTTTGAGTTGTCCAGCGATTCAAGGTCTAGGTCTTCTACTTGTTGCTGCACCTTATGACAAAGATTATCAACATTTTTATAAGTATCCATCTTTAAAGGAGCACAAAACATATATAAAAGTTCATAGACGATTTAACCACTGCATATACAGGTACTTCTTTAGATGCCTCATTGTGCCTGAAATCTTGATTCTTCATAAGAAAAGTTAAAAACTGGATTTACTTACTTGTTCCAGAGCCATTTTGTTGTCTGCATGAATTTCCTTCTCTTTTTGTTTAGGTTTGTAGCTTATTCTGCTCAGAGAAGCAAAATATATTCATTAAATAACTTAGACATTACACAATGACGCCATTAACTTTTAATAGTTAAAACTATATCAATAACGAAAGTCTTTTAAGACAAAATGCAAGATTTTCATCAATAAAAAACAAGTTACTCGATTATATATGTAGTTTGTCAGTGTCTTTCCGGCTGCACTGATATTTAGTCATTACAACTTGCTTACAGACTAAGTGCCGTTTTTATGCCCATCCTGAAACAACCAGGATTGGAACTTAGGTCTCCCATGTTCAGTGGTGGAAAACGTAGTCATCAGAAATACTCAAAATCAAATTTTCAAGTAAAAGTTACTCATTAAATTATCTACTCTAGTTAAAGTAGCAAAGAAACTCACCTTTTAAAATACTTAAGTATTCAAAACTGCAAGCATTTAAAGCTACCTAAGTATTCAAAAATACAAGTTAGATTTTCTAATATAATACATGTCTCTATAATTTTCAAAGTAAGTTTAAACAACCTTATAACTATCAGAAACCACCGGATGTAGTGATGCCTAAAACCACTGTGCTACAAATTCTACCCTCCCTGTAAAAAAATCAGCATTGAAATGCATCATAAAACAAGGACAGCTATTTTTTTTTCCAACTATTTTTTATTTAAAAAGAGTCCAAAAAGAAAAAAAAAAGAGTTTCTTGAATCTCCTCACACTTTCAGTATAGAATAGAAGTTTAAGGTTAAATCTATTACCACAAAGAAACCATACCTCTGATTTGAGAGTTTATCCTACTGAACAATTGGGCCACATGGCACCAACTCATGCCTTAAAGTCGTAGGGTAGTCATATTTAAATGTCAAAACATTCTGGCTTAAACATAAATGTACTCTTTATCAGACGATATTGTCCCAAAAGTTTGAAAATGTCTATTTAAAAAAAATTCCTGTCTTGAAATCTCTGTGTTTGTTTTCTCTGGTTATCTTCTGCAGGCCAGTTAGCTATACGTCAGCTTGAACACCTAAATTCGGCCAATCATATATCAACGGTCATCTGTCAATCGAATTTTTTCGGTCATAGCATCTTAAATCAAACGTTGCAACTAATATACGCAACAGTGAAATAAGAAATAAGAATAATTTCTTTTCCCATTGAGTTCCGTCCCAGTGTTCACGGGGATGGACGTCTGTGTCTTCAGCAGGCGTAGAGCTAACAGAACTGGCTTAACAGAAAAGCTGCTTCCCTATGACTTTAATTTCATGTGTAATGTATACTCTGAATTGTAGTGGACTGGAAGTTAGAAGTACGCCCACAAAAATGACTCAACCAAAATAAAGATACTAAAAAAATTACTAAAGTACACCAATCAAGTTATTGTAATTTGTTACCTTCTATCACTGCCCATATCACAGTTAAAGACAAAAGGCAGGTTACCATGAGAACAGTGACTATGTTTTATAGTAGGCTACATTTAGATATTCAATCATTTCATCCCTTTTTAGTTGTATTATTTAAGATGTTTTTTTTTTTTTACAAACATTAACAATTTCATCTGCAAACCATAGTGATTTTCTTACCTTTTATGCTGCAAAGTTAACCTCTTTCCTCCTGCTCTGCTTTTGATGATGAACAGTACAATACTTTTTCAAGTAATGCAAGTTTGTTATTTCATTGTAACCATGGGGTTACCTAACTTGAAAGTTCCAAAGTGAATTTTAAAAATAAATACATTTTCAAAACAAATACATTTTCAACTGTAGCTGTTTTATTTATTTATTTTTTATTATGCTTAAAACTATTTCCAGATGTAAAGGAAAGGATGGGTTTCAGTCACATGGTTTTGTTAGAGAGTGATTTTACATGGCGAACAGGAAGCAAACTGTCAATGGAGGCAACCCTTGCAGACAACCAGTATATTAAAGAACTACAGTCTCACACTAAAAAAATAAGAGAATTTTGCTGAAATATAACATGTTTTATTTCAAAATCACAAATATTGAAACATTCTATAAAATTCCAACTGAAGATTGTTTGATTTAATGAAATGCAAATAATTTCTAAAGCATCTATTTACAGTAAATGTCATATTGAGGCAGTTCATATTATAAACAGATCCTAAGCCGATTAAACTGGGCTGGAACTAACGAATATTTCACAAATTGATTAATCTGTAGATTATTTTTTTGATTAATAATCGGATATTTAAAGACTCCTTATAGATTTTTTTTTTATTGAACCAGGTGAAACTAAAACTTTTCCACCTGAGGAGTTCTGCATAGAGCTGCTTGACAGATAAATTTTTTTTTTATCTTAAATGCAAAATGTGTGTCAATGTGTCAGCTACAGGCATGTTTTAGAGCCTCTATACTCCAGCCAAGGATTAATGGATTACTAAATAGTTGATGATAATTTTAATAACTGATTAATCAGATTAATTGTTTCAGCTTATGATTAAACAGATAAATCAAATTGTGCCTATAGAAAGTATTTGCAGCTATAGGGTCCAATAATTTAAATATTAATGATTCAAACAATATTTGTATTTTTTTTATATGGGTTTGAGTGAATCTTCAATGTTTGCCTTTAGATTTTAGTCTGAGAGGACCTTGTTTCAAAAAAGTGATGAGCATTTATGACAGGACCTCTGCACCAATTCTATTTGTCCAGCAGGTGGAGACAAACTTTTATGTTCTTGCACATATTTTCAGAGCTTGTCTGTTCTTAGTATATGTTTAACAGACATTTCACTGGAACTGGTTTCACTGCTTTTGTTTTTGGAAAGTTCCAATAACACCTGTCGTCACAAAGTTAACCAACATCAGGAAGTGACTCAGCCATTGCTGAATTCTCATTAATTTTCCACTGCAGGTCCAAACCTGCCCGGTTATTCCTTGAAATCCCAAAGGAAGAGTGAGTCCTGCTCTGTTGCTTGAGGTTAAATTCACAGCCAAACTTCCAAAATCAACCCAACTCTAAGATTCAAATAAAGAATCTGTGGGGAAAGCTATTTCACTGGACTTTTTCTCTTGCAGTGAAAGTGCTTTCCAAGATGTGTTTAATTGATTCTTATAAGGGAGATAGGGGAAAACAAGAAGCCACGGCTCATTCTGTTTGACAAAGATCCTGATGTTTTGATGGTAAGTTATTTTCTGGAAGCAGTTTTGATTTCAAAATACTGAGCAAGTTCTGTCATGATGACAAAGGTGCTCAGTGTTTCTTTCCATTCAAAGACATTGAATCAGCACATCCCACACTCATCAGTTAAAAGAAATAGCAATAATTATTCCCAGGTACCAGAGGGGAGTTTTTAGTTTTTATTTTCCTTTTTTTTTTTTGATTATCCTGGGATGTCATATTTTCTGAAAATGATACTTTGACTTTTAGTACACAATTAAGTTTCTGTTAGGAATTTTTTTTAAATCTTTACTTTTCTCAGTGGTCATGTTCAGAATATATGCTGTGCCTTTTAAAATGACAGCAGTAACACCGGGCATATTTAAAAGTAATTTGATGATTTATTTATCAGTTGTTTAATATTCACCATGCATCCTTTCCATCGCCCTACACCAAAACCTCTCTGTTTAGTTAAAGTTTGTCAAACTTTGACAAACTTTATATATATATATATATATATATATATATATATATATATATGTCTACTAATTGCCCATACCATTCAGGACATATATCCCAGGGTATTCATTAATAAATTATTATAATTATAAATTTATTTCCTCTAATCAACTTTTGATTTTTGTCTCATTGAATATTTTTCTAAGAACCTTTATTGTTTATAAGATTTAATTAACAAAGTGAAGCCTTGGCCAAAGTAAGTCAAATATATTTATTAATGCCTTTAACTGGCAAAGCAGTTACAGAAAAGCAGTAAAAAAAAGAAATAATAAGATAAGATAATAAGAATAAGATGCATTACAATAAAAATAAACATTTGAAAAAGTCCTTTTTATTAAAATGTGTCATTTTCAAACTTTTTTCAAAAGCTGCATTTATTAAAGGAAAGTCCGCCCATATTCAGAATTCAAACTTCTGAAAGTACTTTAAATATGAAATTATTACATACTGTTCAATAAATAAGAAGTGTTTTTCATTAAGAGTAATTTTCATGTGAATGTGCTTTACTGGAGGCATCCATGTTTGTCAAAGAACACTACTGTTTGTCACAACTTGCTATTAGCCAAGATGGCGAAGACCAGTGCGCTATGCGAAGCAAAGAGTAACGGATTAATGGCGTGTTTTTTCTCTGGCCAGATGTTCAATGGCAAATCCTCCCTCTTCAAGTTGGCAATCCAATGACGAACCCGTCTGTGGAGGATCAGGAATCAGAAAGGTGAAATAACTTTTACCCTATGTATTCCAACATCTAACTGCCATGCATGTGGGCATTGTCAGTTTAACTATAGCTCTGGTCCAGTAGTTCTCATTGATTTTGCTTGTTAAGCGGGGAGAATGGCGCTAGGCTTACCGCACCGTGACGTCACTGCTGGAAGAGTGAGGTTTTACTTAATTTGGGCAAAAATGGCCGCTCCCAGACTCAGTGATCACGACGAAAATTATTGTTTTTATTTTTTACTGAATAACGCTAAATTCATTAAATCACTGCAAACGTATTAGTTTTAGGTATAAATAATCATCCGTTGATTATTCCTTGCTGACCGGACTTTTCCTTTAAACATCCTCAACAATTCAATTTAAGTTAGAATTATTTCATACAAATTGTCAAGACAGTAAGAAAAAAATACATTTAAAAAATGTACTGTTTGTTGATTTCCTGTCTGTAGCCTGAAGCAGAAAAACAAAAGATGAAGCAAAACAACAGAAACTGAAAGCTCCGGCTTTTAGCGATAACTCACAGACAGATGATATTACTAACAGACAACATCTGACAGGTTTTCTCGAAACTGAAGTCATGCATGGTTGTGTGACGGTGAGTGCACATTTACAGGTTACTG